AATTGAGATATATATTATTTTTCCACAAAAATAACGTGATCTCAATTTAATTATAATGAAGGAGATAAGTTTTGTTGCTATTTTCTATTTAGAAAAAATCAGAAACTTAATTTATTCATAAGGCTGCTTCTAAGAATAATAGCAAAATTCCAAACATGTGTGTATACAGGCATCAGGTACTCATCTTGATTGGTCTTGTTCCTTTATGGTATGACTGATAATTTATAATATTGGCTCAGACAAATCTAAGATCAGTTCATAAAAATGCAACTCCTCGTGGACTCACATTTTGAGATTTTTTTTGGAATACTCATGCTGAAGAGATTTGCAATGGAAATTTATGCCTTCTTTCAGTTCACGGCAATCGAATTAAGTCAACGGTGAAAACTGGGATTTGCATCCTAAGGAACTGTTGTTCCCTGTGTCTCTTTTTGTTTTGCCACAACCCGTATCTCACTGAGAATAGGAGATACATTCATATTTAACTTTGACTTATAATTTCATGTGTGTCAGCTCAACGTTCCGTTGACATCACAGTATAAGAAAACAGAAGATATGAATTTACATATGATAAAAGATAAATATAAATAATAATTTTATGTTCGTTATATGTTTATGTTGTAATCCTTAATTAATCTATGATTTAAAGATTAATTACATATTTAAGTATATAATTTGAATATATGATTTTAGTATATGGTTGAGAAAAATCTCACCCACAAAATTTATATAAATATACTTTACATTAATGAATAATACTATCCCTTACATAATACATTCTTGAAAGACTTTTAGTTTTAGGCTCTATCTCTCACTTTACATAATACTATAAATATTGCTGTTAGTTACAGGTGCTCTGTAATCCAATTATATGAGTGACATGTGTGATATGTTGCATAATTTTTTCTATTATTATTGCTATGATATTTTATCACTTTATATTGATGATGAATATATTGTGATATCCCTGTATAATAGGAATTGAATTATTATGAGATCATGATAATGAGATCAATTCACCTTTAAATATAGACCTTAAATATTCTCGGTCACAGATTACTCGAGAAGGACATTGAGATAATCGAATAGACCATTGTACTATATAGTGTGGGGACACTAGAAATATAGTGTAGGTGCTCATTAGAGAATGAGTTCATTAAATAATCCACTTACGAAATACTAATTGGTTAATGATACATCATCGTTAAACAACAATTATGTAGTCTCAATTGTATGTTTGGTCCTTATACTTGAGACACTAATGATATATTGTTTGAGTACTTAATTCTTTAATATTGGACTTATAAGTCTAAAAGTTTCAAATCTAGTAAAGTCGGTCATCGGGAGTGGTAGCCAATCTGACAAAGGCAATTGAGTATCAATAGATGATAATCCACTCTCGATATCACGAGAGAAATATCCCATATGCTCTCATTAGACAAATCCTTAGTCATGGTCAATTGGATAATGATAAATCTGATAAGCATGAGATTCGATTTGAGAGGAAAGAAGTTCTTGAGGAGAATCCGATTAGAGTGAGACTCGGATAGATTTCGTATGGGCTTGATAACATCATACCCGGTATATGATATCTGAGATATTAGATGGATAAGAGAACTATAGATATATGGTAATTGAGAGCAGATAGGTCTAATAGATTAGATCCTCCTATACTATATGAGGACTATAGCATAGTGGCATAGTATATCAAGAGTCGATGAGTTGAGTGAATTATTATAGAGATAATAATTTACTGAGTCAGAAGAAGTTCTGATAGGTGCAACTCATAGCTAGTTTGATATTGGGCCTAAAGGGTCATATACATATGGTGGACAACATAACAAGTATAGGATTTGATATGAGATATCTACTAAGCCCCTATTTTATTGGATCCATTGGGTGAGGCTTAATAGGGCTTAGAGCGATTATTGGATAGAGATCCAATATCCATTAAGGTAGGATAATTAGATAGAGATCTAGTACCCATTCAAATAGGATCCATTAGGATAAGTAAAGAGGGCTTTTTATATATAGGAGTTGGGGCTTAAAGGGATCATATAGGCTAGACCCCTATTGCCGCCACCTCCTTTATCTCCTCCTTACCCCTTCCTCCAACTAACTATCCCCTCCTATTATAAGAGGACAATAAGAGGGACCGATCCCTCGGTTGTTGCGGTGTGGTAGTGCACAAACGCGAGGAAAGAATGTACTGTGTGGATCACTACTAGAGAGGAGTTTGTGAAAACTCAATCCATGGATTGAGATATATAGATTTGGAGATATACGATTTGTTAGGAAACCATAAAAAAACATTACATGCACAATAGAAAAATAAAACAAAAATCAGTTTCCCAAAAGAATCATATTTGATTGTCATACAAAGATTGGGAGTGAAAAACTCATAAAACTGAAAACTACGTAACATATGTGAGACGTTCTCACCTAGGGGAGATCGTATATCCCCAATTGATAGATCCTAATGCATGGATATAGGAGCTCTCACAAAATCCTCTCTAACGGTGATCCGCGCGATGGATGAAGTGGCGATGCACCTCCTCTCACGATGCATTCTTTCCTTGCTTTCATGCACCACCATGTAGTAGCAAACACAAGAAGGGGCCGACCCTTCTTGTTGTTCTCATGCCCTTAATAGGGCTGATGGTAGGGTA